CCTTTGATTCTGGGAATGTCACTGTGGAGGAAGAATCAGTCTACCTCAGACAGCACTGGTTGGCTCCCACCTTGGTGGGGCCTGCTGAGATTCTTCCCTGCGTGGGGCTGGGACAAAAGACATTCATGAAATTCTCAGGAAAGTGGGTGGCCTGGCAGACAGTGGAATTCTTAGATAGTTTTATTTGAGTGGGCACTTCCCCCTCCATATCCTTGTCTCCAGACAGGGGGAAAGGAGGGACAGGGATTTGCCATTTGGGCTAAGCCACAGAGTGATTAAGTAAGACATAAACATGTACAAACACTGAGAAATAGACACATATGGAAGTCCTGGTGAGCCAGTGAGATAAACAGAGTCAGAGACAATGGTACAATACCTATGCAAGATTAGCTACTTGGGATCTTGAGTCTAAGACAATTCAGTGGACACATGGGGCTTTTTAAAAGACTGGAGAAAGTTTTAGAGAAAAAGACACCTCAATATATAGAGGCACTCAGTGGTTGAAAGTAGGCCCCTCAGTTTCTAACAAAGGTTCTAGAATGTAGTCGGTAATCTCTACGTGTTTATTGACTAGATTAGGGAGTACAGATGAAGGCAGTAATTCGTTTAGAGTTTTAAGGTCCAGCTCAAATTTCAGTTCAATCCCATAAATATTAAGCACATACTTCAGGCTCAATACACTATGGGATGTGGTCCCAATCTTTAAGAAAATGATCATCTATTGAATTAAAACCAGTATTAGATATATTGAATAGCTTAAAATATTTAAAAATGATTAAAATTACCAAATCTGAAAAAAAGGAGTAAAAAATAAAACAAAACCTAAATTGAACACAAATTCCCAAATGTAAGGAAAAGATCCTTTCCATGGGAAAAATGCGATTGCTGGATAGTTTATCATGGAGCACATTGGTGGGTAATGGCTGTGCAAAAGAAAGGAGATAATGTCCCAAACAGGGGGACACAGTTTAAGCAAACTTTCCCTTGATTTTTGCCTGTATTCAGCTAATTCAGTTAATTTCTCTTTTCAGTCCACAAATTTCTAGAAAGTCAGCTATATTTGCTGTATCCGTTTCTCACCTCTTAATCACTTCTCAATCACTTGCAGTCTAGGTTTTGCCTGTCAATCCACTGAAATCGCTCTCAAGGCCACTAATGACTTCCTTGTCACATCTGATACACATTTCTTCATTCTATCCTTTTCCTTCGTTGCAGCCTTTGACCCTACTAATCCCTCCCACCTTGAAATATTCTTTTTGGTCCTGGAGTCCTTTCTCTTGACAGAGACTAAGTGAATGAATGGCTTCATTTCTATCAATATGCCCTCTCTTTCTTACCATTCTCAACCTCTCCTTTTATGTTGGTGTTCCCTAGGCTCATACCTTAGCCACTTCTTGCTCTATACATTCTCATTGATCAAGAGAATTCACACAAACAGTTACAATAGTTACTTATTATGGGGTGTTTACCATAAGCATCTAGGTCTTCAACTCAGGTCTCTCCTGAGCTTTAAACTGATAGACACAATTCTTATTGGATACTTCCATTTGTATTTTTCATAGTTATTTACCACTTAGTCTAAAAATATGAAACTTGTTTTTAACCTTTCTATCCCCAGCACTTAATCAAAATGCCCAGTATGTAACGTACGTAGGGGAAGAAATAAATGCATCAAAGATTAAAAGCCATGACTACCTCTAGTTATGTCAGACTGAAGTTTTGCTTGACTGCTTCAAATTACACTGAACTTTCTCTTCCTGAATTGGTATGAGAATACTGATCTAACCATGATAAAACGTCAGCTATTCAGAACCCATAGGAATATTCCATTCTGAGTAATTTTTTTTTCAGATAACTGAAATTTATCCAATGAAGTGCAAAACATTTTCACTTTAACTGTTTCTGAGATTATTCAAGAAGGTATTATTAATTTCCTGTGGATTACAGAATGGAAAGAACATGAGTTGGAAGTCATTAAGAGCTAGATTCACCTCTAGAGTATGGCTTTGGATAAACCACTATCTCTAAGGCTGAATCTGTCATCTTCCAAGGGACATATTATCTTCCTCCCTACCTCACAGAATCAAATAAAATACAGGTAAACTCTGATTTATGACATATTCAAGTTTTGATGAACTGCTCATGACTGTCTATTTTTTGTCCATCTTATCGTAATATGAACTACATACAATGTTGCAGTGTGATTTTCTAATGTTATCATTCTCAGATTTTCACTCACAGATATTCAAGTTCATGATTTATAAAGATACCAATAGTAACAGGCAGTAATAATGAAAACTGATAAAACAAGGCATTTGACTTAGGTTAGAAAGGTTTTATGATAGAATTATTGGAATAGAATTCCATCCTAAATTGGTGACTACCTGTAATATAGGTGAGAATGCTTTGTAAATCCTAAAGTGCTTTAAACATGTAAGAAATCATCATTCCCCTTTTTCTAACTCAGAGGCAGCAAGGTGAACTCCATTGTCCATGAAAACAGTGAGGACCCCAAACCCTAAATGTATGTCATTAATACTATTTATTCTTCCTTTACATGGTGAAGAATGCTTTAATTTTCAATTGTCAGGTTTTTTTTTTTTTTTTTTTACTAGTTTTCTCTTGCAATAAATTCTCATTGCTATCGGTGTTCTTGCTTCTAAAAACTCCACTTTTGTCTTTTAATTTGCTGCTAATTATATGCTGTGGATTTGGAGATTAGAAGAAATGGGTATAGAGTAAGAAAAAATAAAAGGCTTCCCCATGAATGAAGCAAATGAATGTTGTCACATGGGACTGTGATAGTGTTATTTCCCCTTATCTCCTAGTTCTCGGGTATGTTTTGAATTTTTACTTTCAGCAAATATTTATTAAGCAGAGTTATGTGCTAGGCACTAACACATTATCTCTGCCCTCATGGAGCTTACAATCTAGTACAGAAAAAAATTTGTAAAATCACAAATTACTGTGAAGAGGGATTATTGCAATTGGGGAGGGCTACATTAACTGAGAGGTTTAATGTACCTTAGGGAGGGAGTTGCGGACAGTTTTACAGAATATGTGACTTTACAGCTGAGACCTGAAGAATGAGTAAGAATTAATGGGCAAGGCAGTGGTATGCAGGAGAGGGACAGGAGGAATGAGGTCTGGGACAGAGGGGAAGGAAAGAGAGAGAGACCGAGGGGAAAAAAGAAAGAAACAGAAGACAGTAGTATGCTGACTGGCTCCACTTCTGAACTTCAGTTTATTCTTCAACTCTTCACAACCAGCCTACTTTCTGATCTTTCCCTTTCTTGTAGAACATCTCTTTTGTAAAATCACCAAATCCCAAGATCTTTCATCAGTCAGTTCTCATCCTGTGCTTAAGCAGGCTGTACCATCACTTCCTTCTTAAGCATGTCCCTTCCACAGCTAAAAACTGGTTGAACCATTTAACACGTTCCAGACACTGACCTAATGATTTCACTCCCCTGATCAAAAGGCTTTCATGGTTTCCCACTACCTATAGGAAAAGTATGAACCTCTTGAGCAACCAACTCCTTTAAAGCCTGTCATGACCTGGACTTTTTCTTCTTTACTTTTCTCCCAAACTATGTTCCAGCCATACAGAATAAATGACCATTTCCTGTGTATGCACTGTATTATATTTATTCCTGGTATTTGCTTATACTGTCTCCATCATCCAGGATGCACTTCTTCCCCATTTCTGCCTATTAAATACCTGAATCCATCCTACCAAGACTGCTTTTCCAGAAAGACTTCTCAAAGCCCTCCTATCAGATGTAATCTATGAGAGTAATCCTTTACTGTCATAATTCTTTAAACCTTGAACTGACTTGCCAGCACTTAACAACTATTACTGCGAATGACATCATTTGCCTTGTATATGGAGAACTTGTATAAGTTCTCCACACTTATCTCCCTGAATAGGCTGTAAGATTCTTGATAGTAAATATTTTTGTCTCATTCAGAAACTAGAGAGACCAGCCCCTGGAGAAGGTCATCATGCTTCATAAAGTAGATGGTCAGCATAAAAGATAACTCTCAATGAGATAGACTGACACAGTGGCTCCACCAATGAGCTTAATTAAACACAGCAGGGACTGTGAGAATGGTGCAGGGCTTGGCAGGGTTTCATTCTGTTGTACACAGGGACTCGCTAGGAGTCAGAACTGACTCTACAGCACCTAATAACAACAACAGAAACAGACTTACCCTAATTTTTGTTTCCCATTGTTGCTGTTGTTATGTGCCAGTTGTTGTTATGTGCCATCGTGCCTCCTTGGGTTTCCGAGGCGGTATCACTATGGAAGTAGATTGCCCAACCTTCCTTCCGAGAGGAGTGGCTGGTGGGTTTGAACTGCCAGCCTTCTGGTTAGCAGTCAAGCGCCTTAGGCACTATGCTACCAGAGCTCCCATTAGCAGATATTAACCTCAGTAGGTTTGTTCCCTATAGTGTCTCAGTGCTGTGCTGACACCTCCTGGTCATATATGGTCCAGCAGCCCAGGTCCCAGCCTTTCACCCTCCAGTATAAAGAAAGGTTCTAGATGGGTCATGCTTACTCAGCCAGGCACTGGAAGCGTGTGCTTGTGGTAATGCCGCACCACAGCATCACCCTTCCCTGGACACTCCAGGAACATACTCAGACCTTCTGGTTCTTGGCTTGCCCTACGAGTCTCCAGCCTAAATTCGGTTCAAGCTTCAGAAATTTTCCCATTGAGTCTCATCCCAGAAATGTGGACTTCCCTTCTTCCCCAGTATCGCAGATTATGAGGGCTAACAGAGCATTAAGAAACCAGGGAGGGAGGAAAGCAAGCACAATTAAGAGAGCAGGGCATATGTAAATGTCCCTGCTCCCCAAGAATCAAGACTGTTCCCCAGAGTGCTATTCCTTTGTCTTATTTTTAAGAGGCTTTAAGCGGTAGGCCTTCTTGGTGATAGTGGTGATCAACCAACCGGAGGTTGGGCAGAGAGTAGGTAGGCGGGGCTTGAGGGGTGGGGCCAGGCCAAAGGGCCTCTCACTTAGGAGCTTCTCCATTCTGTCAGCTCTCCGGGGAACATCCAAGGCAAGACGGGCAACCAGCACGGGGCAGGTGAGGGACTGGCAACAATTGAAGGCAAGGCTTTAGGGGTGTTGGTGGCAGGAGAGTGCCAGGCTCTTTCAGCCATAGCTTTCCATATTGTGAGATGCTCACTTGATGGAGAGAATTCTTGGGTCTCCCATAGAGATGTCTAGCTCAGTTTTCCCTGGGACAAAGCAGTCTCAGAAATAAAGATATGGTTTAGGATGGGGTGGAGACAGCAAAGGCTGAGGGATAGGGGTGTATATGGGTGTGTGACGAAGTACTGAATGTTACAAGGAAATCTGAGAAGATAATGGGGGCAGATGGGTAAGAGTCAGAGAGAGAGCATGACCAGAGACCACAGGGCAGGACTCAGACCAGATAAAAAGGGAGGCTGTAACAGGGAGAGACAGAGGACAGCAGACTAAGCATGAGATGGCAATGGGGGTGCAAGAGAGCTGGGTAACAGGAAGGCCAAGGAGGAAGGAAGGCTCACATGGAGCAACCTTCTCTTCCGGCTGTGGAGTCTGACCCAAAAGGCCCCAGGCCAAGTGGGGAACAAAGCAAGTTTCCAGGTTCCCACTGTACTGATTTTGTGGGGGGGGAAAAAACCATAGTTACCCATCTGCTCTACCCCTTCATACTCCCATGTTGGTTTGGAGGAGAGGGTGAGGCTGCTCCTCACTGCGGTCATAGCCACATCCTGCAGAGCAGGGGAGGGGGAAGTAAGAAGCAAAACACCAGAAGAACCACAGGTAAAGACCATGGGGAGAGAACTCTGGACATATGCAGCTGGTCTGCCACCAGGAAGGTCCTCAGTTCAACCGCAGCAAAAGACCTTAGACCTCTAATAGTGCCTGCCCCCCTGGGGTGCTTGATTCTCAGTCTTCCTCAACATGTGTCAACCTCATTGAGAGAGTTCCAGGGAAGGAGGTTTCTTTGGATTATTTGGTTGGAAGGTCATTATTATCATTTATTTGTAACTTTGGCCAAGTTGCTGAATTTCTTGTAGCTTCAGTGTTCTCATTGCAAATGGGGCTATCTACCTTATTGACATCTGGAAGATTGCAATAATTCACAAAGCACTTGACACCTAGTAAAACCAAAGAAACAAACCTGTTGCCATCAGATTGATTCCTATTCATGGCCACCTCAGATGTTAGAGGATAGAACTGCTCCACAGGGTTTTCTTGGCTGTAGCTTGATGAAAGTATATCATCAGGCCTTTCTTCTGAGGAGCCACTGAGTGGGTTCAAATGGCCAACCTTTGATTATTAGCCTAGTGCAAACTGCTTGAACCACCCAGAGACGTACAGGCTCTCAATAAATATTAGTTACTATTAGCATTAAGGAGCTCTGGTGGCATAGTGAATAAGGCATTTGGCTACTAACAAAAAGGTCAGCGGTTCAAAGCCACCAACACCTCCATGAAAGGAAGATGGGGTGATCTACTTCCATAAAGATTTACAGCCTTGGAAACCCAATGGAGGTTGCTATGAGTTGGAATCAACTCAATGGCAGTCAGTTATTAGCATTAGTTCTTACTAGAATTCCTGGGACTGCCTACATTTCTCACTTCTTTAAAGGCAGTACAGAGCATTAGTTGACATGGGCCTTTGGAGTCAGAAAAACAGTTCTGTTTGACCTAATGCAAATTCTTTTATATAAGCTTCCGTTTGCTCAGCTGTAAAATAAGGACAGTAATGCCTACACTTCACAGGCATACACAGTCAGTGTTCAAAAATGGTAGCTATGAGAATTATCTGCCAGTAAGTCCTATCTTCTCCATTGTAGCTGTTATGTTGTTATGTGCCGTCGAGTCGGCCCCGACTCATAGTGACCCCTTCTTGGGTTTCCGAGGCAGTATCACTACGGAAGTAGGATTGCCCAACCTTCCTTCCGAGGAGTGGCTGGTGGATTTGAACCGCCAGCCGTCTGGTTAGCAGGCAAGTGTCTTAGCCACTATGCTACCAGAGCTCCCCTCCATTGTAGCAGTGATAGCCTATTTCCCCTTAAGACTTAACTTGTGGTGGGCTGGCCACATTCCTCCAAAGATATCACTACTCTTGCTGTTTTGGACATTGAAGTTTCCTACAGCATTAAAGGAGAAAAGTAGGAGTGGGTCACAGAGAAACAAGGGGGCTCAGGGGAATTAAGACGACAGACAAAGATGATGATGAGAAAGAAACCAAAAAGACGCAGAAAGGGGAAAAGCCATTTCTCTCTTTCTAAAGAAGCCTGTGGCCTTTCTTCTAGTGACTGACCACACATCCCATTTCCAGGAACCATGGAGACCTTCAGCTCAAAGAGTCTGGCACTGCAAGCAGAGAAGAAGCTACTGAGTAAGATGGCAGGTCGGTCCGTGGCCCATCTCTTCATCGATGAGACAAGCAGTGAGGTGCTGGATGAGCTCTACCGTGTGTCCAAAGAATATACACACAGCCGGCCCCAGGCCCAGCGGGTTATCAAAGACCTGATCAAGGTGGCTGTCAAGGTGGCTGTGCTGCACCGCAGTGGCTGCTTTGGCCCCAGTGAGCTGGCCCTGGCCACCCGCTTTCGTGAGAAGCTGCGGCAGGGAGCCATGACAGCACTTAGCTTTGGCGAGGTGGACTTCACCTTTGAGGCTGCTGTATTGGCCCGCCTGCTGACTGAGTGCCGGGATGTGCTGCTGGAGCTGGTGGAGCACCACCTTACGCCCAAGTCACACGGCCGCATCCGCCATGTGTTTGATCATTTCTCTGACCCGAGTCTGCTCACAGCCCTCTATGGGCCTGACTTCACTCAGCACCTTGGCAAGATCTGTGATGGGCTCAGGAAGCTGCTGGATGAGGGGAAGCTCTGAGAGTCCTGAACCCAACACATTCCACCTTGGGAAAATGTCTGACTGAGAGAACAACAGATAATGGGCTTTCTAACCCTGCTCATCTGCACTAACGCTTTTCACTCTTCAGGCTTCAGTCCTTCCCAAGAGTGCTTTTGGCTCTGAGACCACCCCACACCCAAATGGCTGATGGAGAAGGAGCAATGTTGAGGGCTGAGGCCCCTCTCCCGTTTCAAACCCAGGACAGGAAACAAAACTGCCTGAAAAAGATGAAGTGAAACTTGGATCTCTATTTCCTCCATAAGGGACGTTTGAAATAGGAAATCCCCCTCCTCTATGAACTAAGAGAAGGGGATACAGTTCATCTAATCCCTCTGGGGACACTAAAGACAGAAAGGGTAAGAGAGTCCTTAGGAACATCCTAGAACCTCCAGCTCTAGGCAGAGATGGACAGATACCAGAGGTTCTATTCTGGAGTACAGGAAGAAGGGGCTAGGGCAGGGGAGAGTCTCACAGGGGAAATAAAACTACTAAAACATGCACAGGGCTCAATGTTTAATCTCTCCAACTTCTCACACCTTCCGATCATTACAGAAGAAAGGCGGTAAATAAACACCACTTATCTCACCTCTTGCCATTTCCATACGGGAGACTGAGGCTTAGTTCCAGTATCAATGAGGTTGTCTCACCTACTTCAAGAAGAAACTCAAAAAACTGTACCGCAGATCAGTGCTACAAATTGTAAATAAATATGCAGTGAGGAACAAGGCATAGATAGATAGGCTCTGGTGGGGATGGGCTATAACACAGACCCCTCAAAGCAGGGGGCTCTATGATCCTCTTCAAACCCCAACATAAGCCTTCTTCCATCTCCTTAGCCCCACCACAGTCTGAGCAGAGGAGCAGGTCAGAGGGGTGAACTGGTAAGATGGAGAATTCAGAACCCTATAGTGCTACTTTTTCTCAGAGCAAGAGCTGGGGAGTGATAGGGGATTAATTAGTCAAGGCTGAGCCCAAATCCTTAACTTTCAGACTAGGGGGAAGGCCCAGCACAATCCCCCATTTTCTGCAGCAGGCCCACATCACTGACTGTCCCATCCTCAATAACATACACTTGGCCAAGGAGGTGGGGAACCAGTAGTCACTGGCTCACTGTTTCTTGGTTCCCCTCACCTAAAGACCACAGAAATCCCTTTTTTTTTTTTTTTTGGCTAAGAGTGTGAAGGAATACAGCAAATAAATAGTACTTCAATATAGCACCAAATAAATTAGATACTTAGTTGAGAGCTGGAGGATTCCCTGCTTCCCTGCTCTAAGGCCAAGGAATAGTGAAGGGATAGGAAAGGCAGCAGGGATGTAAAAAGAGACTTTTGAATCTAAGGTACTAGATTCAGCCAAAAAACCAAAGAGGCCTATTTCTCATCCCCTACTCTTATAATAAAACTTCCCCAGGCCGAGGAACCCTTGGATGGATAAGGAGGCTGGGGAAGATGGCAGGAGTGGAGGGAGGTGGGCTGGGAAGCCATGTTCTTGAGCCTCACCTCAGGCTCCTCTCCCCCTCAAGTTGTTCCTTCAACATCTTGCTGCTCTCAATCAGTTCTGGGGACATCAGAGTTTAAAGATTTCATCCTCCTGGTCCCGTAGTGTTCTGGTCCGTGAGGTCTGGGTCAGCGGCACAGGACCAAGGACTGCTCGTTGCTGCATCCGAGGGGAGCTCAGGTGGGGACCTATATCTTCCCCAGGCACCCTGCAGGTGAGGAGAAGGGGAAAGGGTGACAAATCAAAGGAAGAACCTAAGGACAGCCTCAATGAAAAGAGATGTGAGAAGCTAAGCTTCTCCTTTAGTACGTGAGCTGTTTGCTCTAAGACCATGTCTCAATACCTTTTGGATAAGTCCTAACTCTAATGCTCCTTCATGGATCATCACAGCAGTAAGTTGGACTCCAACGAGAATATAGAACTCAGTTCCCCACTGCTTCTACTCATTCTAGCAGCCATTGTCTCTGCTCCATGTCTTGGAGCCACATGAGAAAAAGGTATCACCTTGCTTCTGCTGGCACTGTGTTTATTTTTATGTGTGTTGAAAGGAGGAGTTCATGGAAGGGCTTAAAAGGAACTATAAGACTTACCTGCTGTCCCCTTTTCTCAGCTTCTGAGCAGCAGCCTTCTTTGACAGGCTGATCTGTGAATCAAGCTTCTTAAGGAAGTCAGAGGCCGAGAGGTCATGGATGGGTGTGGGGGGTTCCTGGCCAGGTGTGGGGAGGACTTCACCATTAGCATGTCTCGAACCTATCTCGTGCTTTTTCCTCTCAGCTGAGTGTGGCCCAGCTTCATCCTTACTAGGCTGTACCTCTTCCTCTTCCTCAGAATCCAAACCATTGAACAGGTCTCTGGGCTCTGTCAGGATGGGGATGTAGAGGGTTTTCTTCAGGAAGATGGAGTCATTAGTATAAAGGCGGTTTGCACGCTTAATCTGTTCCATCTTAAAAGAAAAGTCACCAAAATTAATAACAGCAATAGCAAGTAATCCTACATTTGTATAGCATTTCATGTTTGTTTTTTTTTTAAAGTTATTGTACAGTCTTATCTGACCTTGTAACAACCAAGCCAAAGTACAAAGGGTTGACATCATTCTTATTTTATGGATCAGCAGTTCTCACACTTTTTGATCTCAGGGCCCCTTTACATTTTAAAAAATTATTGAGTACCCCAAAGAGGTTTGGTTTACGTGGTTAACAGCTGTCAATATTGAACATACTATAAAAGAGAGAGAGAGGTGGGGTTGGCAGCCTAGAATAGTAGTAGTGGAGACTAGTTTGAAAGCTGGGAAGAATGTGCTCAAAGGGAAACCTTGCAAGCAGCAGCCCTTCACCTGACAAAGGTTCGCTTTGCCTTAGTTGTGAATTCTTTCACTGAGGAAAAGAATTACCATTACATCACTATATTAATGCAATGACAAGTAGACTTGACTCATGATTCAGAACCAAAGAATGTAAAAGCCTGAAACAAATGAAAGTTGAGAGTGGGTTCCCTGGGAAGAACTTCCTCCAAGGCACGAGGTTTTCTGGGCACTACGGTGTTTAAAGGAATAAGGCCATGATCCTTTTAAAGGAGATTTGGATCATCTGGCAGGATACAAAGGAAATCACCTCTAGGTGGCCAAAAGGATTCTTCAATTTTTTAGAAAGGCAAAATAAGATCTAGCTAGAGAATTAAAACCACCTAGATTTCAGAACTCCTCCATTTTACCCCAAAAAGTTCTATTTGATTACTACTTTATTTGCATTCTCTTAAATATCCTCTACTTTTTCAGCCAGTAATTGTGAAAAAATTTTGGGTTTATGTTGTCGAATTCTATTTCAGCCATAGCATAAATGATGAATGGTGGTGATCTTGCGTAAATTTGCTTTTCATAGTTATACAAGATCTATGCTGTGCATTTTGTCATTACTAGCTTGCAGAGTAGAGTCCAATAGACTTTGTCTTAGTGTTTCACTCCAAGTAGAAATTCTAACTCAACTGCTAACACAGTATCCTTGTTGTGGAATTTATCACGTTTGTTGATTTTCTCCCTTTCTCTTACTTAAAATTATTTGCATGGTAATATATTGTGACAGTCCTTGCAAGTAGAGAGAACAGGACAGGAAATTAGGGAATATGCTCCATGTTTCTGACTGACTACCTAAGTCAGAAGTCTTGGGCTATTACAAATAACGCTGCAATGAACTTAAAAAAAAAAAAAAAAAATTAAAACTGAGAAAATTTAAAAACATGTATTTATTGAAAAGTAATAAACTCATTACATGTTAACATAAACATCTGAATGAAGAATAACTGTATTTTCCAAAACAAAACAAAAAAAGGTAGGGAGAAGAGAGGCACTGTATTATATTTTTGCAAATCACTTTAATGTCTGACAATGGAAGACAATTAGTTCTCCTATGTGTATCTATATTCAATCTAGTGTGGTATCACACGTCATACAGTCTGTGGAAAACTCTACTACTATCCAGTTATGAGAGAATGAGAATGAAAAAGCAAATAATCAATTATTATTATTATGAAAATAATTTAGACCCTGGGGACACCTGAAGAAGTCTCAAGAACTTCTGGGGTCTCCTAACCTCACTTGAGAACTTCTGTTAAAGATGAAAGACTGAGGCTCAGAGGTTAAGTTACTTGCATAAGATTACTTAGCAAGTTAATAGCAGGGCTAGAACTAGAATCCTCGGTCTTTATATATTCCTTCTGAGAAGGTTTTTCCCAGTATAATATAAGCAATTTCATTGATGAAGTATTTATCTAGTACCTATTCATCAAATACTGGACAGAGTGACTGGCATCACTATCCATCTACCTGATCTCCAAGGGTAGAAATATAAATGTCATCCTCAACTCATACTTTCCTTCCACCACCCATATCCAAGTGGCAACGAAAGTGCTTAAAAAATCTCTCTAACACATGGTCTCATCTTTACGTCTACTGCCATTGCTTTAGAATCCCAAAAACAAACTCACTGCTGCGGAGTTGATTCTGACTCATAGCTACCCGATAGAACAGAGTTTCCAAGGCTGTAAATCTTTTATTTAATTTTTTTAAAATTGTGATTTGGGTGAAAGTTTACAGAGCAAATTCACTTTCCATATAGCAGTTCACATACACTTTGTCTCATGACACTGACTACAATTTACCCCAATGCAACAAGGGCTGTAAATCTTTATGGATGTGACTGCCACATCTTTCTCCGATGATGCTTTAGAAAAGACCCTTCATATTTCTCATTTGGGTTATGCAACAGTTTTTTAACTGGTCTTTCTTTCTCCATTACTACCCATTCTATATTCTGCTGACATCCATCTTTTGAAAATAAATAAATCTGTTTATAACCTCCTAGGGCTCCTTCCTCCTGGCCCTAAAAGATAAAATCCAAATTAACATTCAAGGACTTTCTCAGTGTAGCCCTGATAGGAAAAATCAAGCTTCATCTCTCTTCCCTCTGTCACTTATATATATATTTTTCACCTATATATTTTGCCATTCCAAACTTTTCCCTTTTCTATGAACATTCCGTGCTCTTTTACACTTTTATGTCTTTATCTATGCTATTCCTTCTGCCTGAAATGCCTCCTCACTAGTTCCTTATCTGCTTAGAAAACTTGTACTCATCTACATGACTCCCTTTGTGTTAGCTTATCAGGACTCCCAAAACTACTGGAGGAGCAGTAGTGGTTAAAAGCATTCGGCGGCTAACTATAAGGTTGGTGGTTTGAACCCACCAGCCACTCCACAGTCTGGTTCCATAAAGATTTACAACTTTGGAAACCTTATAGGGCAGTTCTATTCTGTCCTTTGGGCTGCTATGTCAGAATCGATTTGATGACAGTAGGGTTTGTTATACACTTCTTTGCATGTTTGTCTTTCCCACTACCCTTTGAGTCCTTTAGAGGAAGAGATGGTAACTTGCTGTCTGGTATCCCCAGAGCACTATTCAGCATCCCACAATGTTTGATATTAATGGGGCTCATTAATGCTTTATGAATAAATAAATAATAAAATATACGAACCACAAATATAGTGCATCAGTATTTTACTATAAGAGAGCCAGGTTGCCAGTTTTGGAAACCCATAATCAGCTTAGAAATCCATTATCTGTCAAGTATCAAAGATGTTTCTACCCTGGGGCAAGATTATCATCATAAACTTAACTAATAAAATCTTATACAGTTATAATGTGTTTAAAAATAAAATCAGATTAATCTGAACAATAAAAACACATTAAAATTGCACTTTTGTATTTTCAAGGAGATCTGGTGGTATAGTGGATAAGGCATTTGACTGCTAACCAGAAGGTCAGCAGTTCAAACCCACCAGCAGCTCTGTGGAAGGAAAATGGGACAATCTACTTACATAAAGATTTACAGCTTTGGAAGTCCAACGGGGATTGCTATGAGTTGGAACCAACTCGACGGCAGTGAGTTTGGTTTGGTTTTGTGCTTTTACTTTGCCAAAGGCTTCTATGCTATTAATTTTGCCTAGATAATATCCTAAGTCCCTTCCAGTTCCAAGACATTATGAATTACTCTGTGAAGTTTCTGTTTCTTTTATTATATCTTAGCAGCACCATATAAGGGGAAATTATCCTACTTTTAAAAAGGATGTAACCAAGGTCAAAGTCCAGAGAGAGCCTGGACCATAGAGTCACAGTTTTTAAGAGTTACAAAGGCCCTTAGAATCTAGATAGGATAATAATAATAAAAAACCCAAACCAGTTGCCATCGAGTTGATTCGGACTTATAGTAACCCTATAGGACAGAGTAGAACTGCCCCATAGGGTTTCCAAGGCTGTGATCTTTATGGAAGGGCAGACTGTCACTTCTTTCTCCCATGGAGAGGCTGGTGGGTTCAAACTGCTGTCATTTAAGTTAGTGGCTGAGCTGCTTAATCACTGTACCACCAGTTAGTATAACAGAGCAGTTGAAAGTAAAAGTTTTAGAATGAGACAACCTGGTCTGAATCTAATTATACTAGTTGCATGATCTATAAATTATCTTTCTAGGCCTCAGTTTCCTCATCTTTAAATGGGAATAATTACACCTACCTCATAGTCTTACGAAGATACTACGAAGTAACACATCCATAGAGCTTTCTACATAGAAAGTATTTCTTAAGTGATATATAAATAATAACTTAGGTAATTATCATTATTTAATACATTTTACCAATGGTGAGGAAATTGAGGTTCCAGAGAGCGTAAGTGACTAAGCAAAGTCACTCAGTCAGTAAGCAGCAGAATGGAACTAGAACCTAGGGATTCTTCTTCTTCCCTAGACTATAAGGCTTCTCTGCACCAGGAAGGGTACAGAGAAATTTAAAAAAAAAAAGCTTCAATAAGTACTTGTTAATTCACTGGTACCCCAGTTCCCTTGTTTGCAAGGCTTCTGAGGCCCAGGTAAGATCTAGGAGCTGTTCTGTACTTTTATACCCACTTCCTTTGCTTGGGGAGCTCTGGTGGCATACTGCCTAAGGCATTTGACTGCTAACCAGAAGGCTGGCAGTTCAAATCCACCAGCCACTCCTCAGAAAGAAGATTGGGCAATCTACTTCCGGAGTGATACCACCTCCGAAACCCAAAGAAGGGTCCCTGAGTCGTCGGATCCGACTCGACAGCAGTGAGTTTTGTTTTTTCGGTTTCCTTTGCTTAGGCCATTCCCTCTACTTGAAATGTTCTCTCTTCTGCACTCTCAATCTCTATGTGTAAAAATCTTAGCCATACTCATTCATTCATTCAAAAAACATCTATTAAATTTCTATGCGCTTGGGACTATACCAGACTTTAGGGACATAAAATTGAAAGGAGTTTCTACTCTTAAGGAGAGTATGTTGTTGCTGTGTGCCATAGAGTTGATTCTGACTCATAGTGACCCTATAGGACAGAGGAGAACTGCCCCAATGGGCTTCCTAGGCTGTAATCTTTATGGGAGCTGATTGCCAGGAGTTTTCTGTCTCCGAGCCACTGGTATGTTCAAACCAATGAAATTTCAGTTAGGAGCTGAGCACATAACCATTGTGTTACCAGGCCTCCTTTAAGGACAGTATAGGCTATTAAGAAGACATAAACCTATGTAAACAACAGTTATTACATAAATCAGAGAGGAACAGAGAGAAAAGAATTTCAAAGTCTTCTAAGGACCATAGTGATAGCTTCTTCAAAAGCTGCACTGATGTTTACCTCCTCCCCCTTCCAAGTAAAAATTAATCTCCTTTTCTAATTTCCCATCTTTGTTAACAGCATTACACATTTACCACATTCTGCCACCTACTATCATTATTTTTGTCCCAGGAAATTTCTCACACGAAGGGAGCCACACATTTTGTTTCTATCTCCAAGATGGTTACCACAGTGCTTTAAAGATAGCAAACATACAGATGTTAGCTAAATTTAACATTTGTTTGTGAGGGATTGGACAAGATATGGAAAAGCACTCACCAACTTTAATACAATATATTTTTACACCTATCAAATGCATCCTACACTTACTTGGTGTAAAGAGTACCTTCTCCTTACCAAGAAAGGCCACCTTACTGGGAAGAAGGCTGAGCACTGAGAAGGAAAAAACATGAAGAGATAGGCACTCCAGGAACTTAGAACTAAAAACCAGCTCTCCATTATTTGCTGTAAATGTTTAATCACTCTCAATTAAAAAGTTTCTATGTAGTTAATAATAGTACAGGATTTAGAGTGTGACAGACCTGTTTGAATTCCAACTAAGATTCTCATTAGCTGTTTGATTCTGGTAAAATTGGTTAACAGATCAGTCCTCATCTCAATTTCTTTATCCACAAGTGTTGTTGTTGTTGTTATGTGCCATGGAGTAGGCCCCGACTCATAGCGACCCCTCCTTGGGTTTCTGAGGAGGTATCACTACGGAAGTAGATTGACCAACCTTCCTTCCCAGGAGTGGGTTTGAACCGCCAGCCTTCTGGTTAGCAGTCAAGTTCCTTAGGCACTACACTACCAGAGCTCCTTTATCCACAAATAGTGAACAGTAATTGTATACTTGATAGGCATGTGAGGATCAAATATATGCAAAGAACCTAGCATAGTATCTGGCATATATTAGGCTTCAACAAGTAAGAGCTGCTCCTCTCCATTAGGATAGTGGGACAGGATTTGTCCCATCCAGACAGTGAAACACTGACAACAGAAAACAAAGATAAAGGCAGTGCAGGCACAGCCTCAATCAGGGAAAATTCTGGGAAAGTTACCTAGAAGGGTCACTACACACATTCATTCTCTCCTAACTGGCTGTCAGTAACCTAGTCCTGGAAGACTCACCGTCACCCCGTATTTGAGTGCTAGTCCAGCCAGAGTGTCTCCAGGTTCCAGCTGATGCTCCAGACGTCTTTCCCTCACTGGGGAGCAGACAGACTGCACCAGGCTTCCATAAGAACGAGCCCGGCTCCCTTGAAGCAGTCCAGATCCCCCGACCGGGGGCTGTCTAGAGGGAGAAGCCATCTCCTCACCCTGCTGACAGCTTGGGTTGCGACAGAGGGAGGACTGGCTAACTGATCGACAGTGACAGGGCTGGGGGCTGGGAATTGATATCCAGGGAGATTCCTCCCTCCTCTCTCCTAAATCTTTCCTTCCCTACGCTCCGCCCTCAGCTCCCCTCCACTCGCTGAACCTCCACTCGCCCCAGGCAATCCTACCCTCCCTCCCCTAGGGACCTAGCATATTCTAAGCAGATATTATCTGCTCTTGCTTCTTCTCCTTCCAGGCCCTTTTTCCACAAACCTGGCCCCTGGGTATTCAGTCTCTACCGAGTCCCATTAGAACACCCACAACTCCTCACTACACTGACCTCTGACCTTTGAACTCTAGGCAACCTCCTCAGTACCTTTTCCTCGGTTTGCCCCCAAGCCGGGCAGCACGGCCTCTGGGGCTCCCCTCACCCCGGCACTGCCCAGTCCCAGGGTTGGTCCTCTAGGGTCAGAAACTAGTCAGGCCCACGCTAGGTGGGCTGGCACTTCAGACGAAGCGCTTGAGGATGGCGAGTTTGTAGTCCACTACCCACTTAGCGATCTTAAAGGGCCTGCTCCACATCAGATTGGTCTTAAAATTCGGACTCAAGCATCAGCTCCACATATAGGTTCTTGTCGCTCTAAATGCCTCGAATTTGCCTAGATGCAAGGGCGTGATTCCTGCCGGTAGACAAATTCTTTGAGAAAAGACTTCATTTCCCAAGAGGCTTCGCGTCTGCGGGGTCGCAGGGCACCATAGGAAATGCAGTCCCCTTTGGACGAGAGGAGGGTGCTTTCGGGATCGCGCAGTGCATGAGGGGAAGCGGGTCCCCGGAAGTAAGGAGGCCAACCGGAAAAAAACTGGAAGAGGGACAGGAGCCGCCTCTCTTTTGCTACGGTGGCCTGAAAGGAGAGACGAATGCTGTGCGACCAAATTTATTGCTTCTAGGATTTGCAGTCGAGATGTCTTTCAAAAGGGAAGGAGACGATTGGAGTCAACTCAATGTGCTCAAAGTAAGCGCAGAAAGAGAGGTCTGGAGCAGGTTCAGCCGCCCTCTAAGACTCTGAAGGAGCTTTGTTTCGTTGTTCTGGCAACAGCTCCGGAGAGTGGGGGTCGAAAGAGTGCCAGGCTACTGGAACTGGGTGGTGACATCTTTTTCGCTCTGTGGTCACTGGCCCTTAGTCCCTTTGGCCCTTCGCCCCTATCATTTCCTTTACTACTGTCCCGCTGATCTCGTCCGGACTTCTTCCCTTACCCACTGCAGAAACGAAGAGTCGGTGACTTGCTGGCCAGTTATATCCCGGAGGATGAGGCACTGATGCTACGGGATGGACGGTGAGGGCGAGAAGTGGCTTATGCCTGAGGATTCTGCAGTTGGGACCTCAATTAGCTTTTGTTATTAAGGAAGAGTTCTGGAGTATCTAGAGTGAGGAGGTTAGGAGACCTGGGAGTTGGACTTTGGAAAGGACTACTAGAACAGAGTAGGACCTACAGTAGGCCTCCGTTCCCTACACCTACACCAATTATCTTCTTCTGTCCCACTTCTCAGCTTTGCTTGTGCCATTTGTCCTCACCGGCCTGTTCTGGACACCCTGGCCATGCTGACTGCCCACCGTGCAGGGAAGAAGCATTTGTCCAGTAAGTTTAGAAGAAGACGGGATAAACAGTAAACCCTCAAAAGCTCTGCAGACCATTCTTGGCACTTTGCTTTTAACTCCCTTTCCCTTACTCCTCAGGCTTGCAGCGTTTTTATGGAAAGAAGCAGCCAGGAAATGGAATGGAACAGAACCCAAGACCACAGAATGAATTGAGACAGGAGGAGACCAAAGTTGAGGTAATCAGAGAGGGGAAGGTGTGCCCCAGATAAGACCCTGTTGCACATCCCAGGCTTGAAGGGCTTGGGCTTCTCTCTAGCTCTGAAGGCTCTGACTCTTTACCCCCCATTTCCAAACCAGGCTCCTCTGCTGGCCCAGACTCGATTAATCACCCAGACTGCTCTGCACAGAGCTCCCCACTATAACAGTTGCTGCCGCCGGAAGTACAGGTCTGTGGGATGGGAAAACCAGAGAAAATGATGATGATTTGAGGATGGTAAATAGGGAAAGGATAGCAGTACTGTAGTAGCTCTTAAGTTTATGTCTGTGATCCATTTTGTGTTAATTTTTGTATATGGTATAAAGTAGGGAGTCCAACTCCCAGCACCGTTTGTTGAGAAGAGTGTTCTTTCCCCAATGAACATTGCTATACGAGGAGAAACTAAGAATAGGGGAGTAACTGTGAGAAGGTATTTCATATTGGTTAGAGACATAAAAAGATGGAGACAGTGGATGGAAAAGAACTACTGGTGTGGGAAATCACTAGGGAGGGACAGATGGAGATAGATGGCTCTAAAATTATTGTTTTCCAAATTATATTCTGAGGAATACTAGTGTTCTGAAGATGCCAATTGGTATTCCAAGAAAAAGAGAATTTTGTGATTTCAAAAGTTAAAATATTTTGTTTAACCTAGGCTTTCCCAAATCCATTTGATTTTAGAATCCTTTTTCATGCAAAATACATGAACACAGTTTAAGGAATACTGCTTTGAGGAATTGGGAATCACAGGGGATTGTCCTTTACCACTTAAAAAAAAAAACCTGTTGTGGTTTGGGTGAAAGTTTACAGAATAAATTAGTTTCCTATTCCCCAATTCATATACATTTTGTTTTGTGACCTTGATTGCAATTGCCCACAACGTAACAGCATTCTTCCCACTTTGTCCCTGTGTTTCTTGTTTCCATTCATACTTCTTTTCTGTCCCTTCTTGCCTTCTGAGTTTTGTCCCCAAGCAAATGCTTTTTGGTCACATATAGTTGATTGTTCTAAGGCATGCATTCCTCCCTGGTGTTATTGATCACCTTATAGACCTGTCTGTTTGGATGAAAGTTGATTCTTTGGGATGAGTTCAGTTCCAGGCCTGCAAGGTGTTTGAGGGCCACAGTCTCAGGGTTCCACTAAGCTCTGTCAGACCAGTAACTCTGGTCTTTTTTATGATTTTGAGTTTTGTTCTACATTTTCCTCCTACTCTATCCAGGACCTTCTATTGTGATCCCTATCAGAGCGGTCAATAGTGGTAGCTGGGCACGATCAAGTTCTTCTGGTGTCAGGGTCATGGATCCTTTACCACTTTCACAGTCTTCAATCCTTCTCTACCCAGACCAGAAACCCCTGGTCCCTCCATCTCCTGTTCCCCTTTGCCACCCCCAGAAGTTAAACTCCAAAGTGGGAAGATGAGCAGGGAATCTGAGCCAGAAGCTAGTCCACAGGCCAAGAAGTCAGCAACTGTCCCAGCCCCTGCACCCATGAGTCCCACAAGAAGACGAGCCTTGGATCATTACCTCACCCTTCGAAGGTAAGTATACCAAATCACTTCCCTCAGATTTGTTCTTTTCTGACTTTCCTTTTTTTTTTTTTTAAACCTATTCAATTGTTTTTTTCTTATCCCCACTAACTTCTTAATAAACCTCAATATTGGTTTTTCAATATTTCCAGCTCTGGATGGATCCAGGATGGACAGGGTCGATGGGTGAAAGATGAAAATGTTGAGTTTGACTCTGATGAAGATGAACCCCCTGACCTCCCCTTGGACTGACACCCTCTTTCCCCATTCAGTTCACAAATAAACTTCAACAGGCGCTGGAAGCAAAACTTGAGGAAATTTTGGCTCCTTATCCTATCTGAGGATTTCAAATCTATTCATTCACAGGCTAGACACTCTTTCCCTGCAACGTACACAGCTCCCCATACTTCGAACCCCTCCCCCACCTTTCACCAAAGTCATGCCAGGCGTCAGCTGCATGCAGCCCGGTGCCCTATTAATAAGCCTGTCAGAAGGAAATCTTTGCCCTTCATGTTGTCTGCCTCCTTCCCACCTCCACTGAAAGTCCTTTACCCCTTCAGATCACATGAAGGCTGTGGGTAGGCTCTGGGAGGAGGGGGGCACCTGGCCACATCTGGAAACAGGGTTGAGATTAGGTACCCTGTGAAAGTGGAACAGATCACAGGTATTGACAGAGTTATGGGGAATACCAAGGGAGGGAGCTCTCCCACCTCCTAGTAACCTGAACCTCCCTGCCTGTTGATCCCCAGAGTATAAATAATCCCCTGGTGAACTGGCAGTAACCCTTGGGGGTTAGTGCCAAGATTTCTACCCGAAAGCCCTAGGAAGGAGGCAGGCAGAGCAGACAGAAGGGCCTTTATTTACAGGAAGGGGGATAGATGAAGATTTACGTATCCAGGGCTCCCAGCTCTAGTTGGTAAAAGGAAAGGCGGTGTTATCTCTTCTTTTGCTGGCGACCTGTAGAGGAGGAGGAGAAAACACAAGTCTATTCCATCTTTTTGCAAAGGCACTCTTCTTTTCCAGACTCATGAAGAGGTAGTGTCTTAAGCCACCTGACAGGTCCACACCACATTAAAACAAAATAAACCACACCACAGGTAAAAATACCATGCCTCCAAACAGCTATCTCCAGCTTCTTTCCATTTCTCCACTTGCATATATTTGGGGCAGGGGGACTTTTCTATCTACTTCCTAATCACTCATAGGATTTACACTTCTCATTTGAATGTCTCTTTGGCAGCACTGAGGCTGCATTCAGGAGTATCCACCAGCTTCTGTACCTCTTTGCCCTCCCTATCACACACCATGTCTGCAGTCACTCACGTAGTTCATTATTCCGAGTCATGGCTTGGGCTGCCCGGGCTCGTGGCCCCTGCTGTGTGAAGTGGTAACCGAAGCGGACGATGGAGGGACACTGCTCTAGCACAGTGGCCATCTCCATCTCCACTGCATCACCAGGCCACTGGCGCTGGGGGAAGGAGAGACAGAAGTTATCAGTTACCCTCTGGGCTCCTCAACATCCCAGACCACAGACCTCTTTGGGAGGTCAAAGGAACTTGTTTCTCCAGAGTGGGTGATGAGGAATGCTGATTTGGACCGTCACAGAGAGAGTGACATAGAGGAGAATTCAAATGATAAAATGAGGCCACCCCAATGGTTGGCTCAGGGAGGGGGCTCAGTGGGTGTTAGCTAAATGCAAAGACAGAGGAAAGGAGTACTGACCTGGTTATCTACACGGAGCTCAGTGAGTGTGGCATTTTCTCGAACTGCCTTCAGCACAGCCATGAGCCCTGTGCTGCTGATGAAGTTGGATTCGATGTTGAGACTCTGGAGGCTACGATTTTCACGCAACATGTCAGCCACCGCCTGGGTAGTAGGGACTTGGGTTAGGATTAGGGAGAAGTTTCACAGATGACTGAGGAGAGAAAGAACAGGAGCAAGAGGGAAGCATAGCTCTTCTGAGTTCTTGAGGAGCTTTAAGTGGGGCTAGAAGGGAACAGAAGGGAAGGTAGGTACTAGAGGAAAGCAGGAGGATTAAATGTGCAGTGGAGTTAAGTGTTACAGAGGGCTATGGCCCTACAGGAAAATGATCTAAGGATTGCAGAGTTGTGAGCCATGGAACTGAGGATAGGAGTCTTCATCGGGGCAGCCCTAAGAAAACATGATGGAGACAGCCTCCAGCACGATCCTTTATTACAGCCCTGCCAGGATGCATGTCAGAGTATGGGGAGAGAATTTGGGATGTCAACTAGCTTACATTGGCGATAGGGTCACCACTCCTTGTGGCCACCAAACTGAAGCTCCGGATGTGGGTATTTGTCTTCATTGCCTCACACAGCTCAGTTAACATGGGTATCGGGATGTCCTATCAGCAGGGAAAATAAAGAGATACTGGGCTAAGGAGCTTGGGTATATCAGCAGCGTTATCCCACTGTTTGGAGTATGGGCATCAAATACCTGTATGTTATTGAGGTTCACTTCCTCTAGCTCCTTGTCATTGCTTCGAACCCTCTTTAGTATCTCCTCGATGTTTGTGGGATTTGGGGGCTCATCTGGCACTGGCTTATACTTGTCAGGCTGCACCACACCTGGGGGGTGAGGGCAGGAAGGGAACCCCAACATGTCCCCCACCGTATCCTCCCCATTGGTTCTCTGATCATTCATGCATTCATGCCCTCTCCCTGATTCACCTATTTCACCCATTACCACCTTTCCTCAAACTCTGGGACTACCTGCCAAGAGCCTTGGGGTCACACTCCCCAAACACACTCACTGCTAATGCCTTCAGTGTTGCAGATTTCTCCGCTGCAGATTGCATCATAGTATTGCTTGTTGCTCATCAGTGTGTACATGCCCAAAATTGCTGGAGAGGGTAAGAGGAAGGGGCACAAGGAATGAGAAGGGATCTGTTCCAAGCATTCCTCTACCTCATTCTAAACCTGCTGCAGCATTTTTAAAGCCTGACCTCTTCTACACCGAAGAGGTTTCCCATCCTCCCCCAGGGGTTCTTTCCATAAATTGCCCAAGGCAGTGGATGTTAAAACATTCAGATAGAGCTATGGGAAGGTCCCTAAGGAGCCACTGGAGGCTGAGGGAGTCTGTGCAGACCCCTTCCTGATTTCAGCCAGAATAGCTCCTCTTTCATTTGCTTTTATAATCCGTGTAAAATTGCCCTGAGTGTTAACTAAACAGAAAAAAAATACATAAATAAAAAATAAAACCCACTGCTTTCAAAGCTTTCTTAGACCTCTGTGACCTGGTTCAGGGCTTTCCCCACCAGCCCTCTGCCATGGCTCCCACGTACCAGGATCTCTGCCCCTGCTTTTCCCACCCCCTTCAACTTCCCACAGCTGCCTACCTGCAATGTCACACATTTCGGCATCTGTGGCATGGGCCAGTGCCTCCTCCAGCTCAGGCTCCAGGGTGATCTGCTCCTGGGCTGGGATTTCCCTCTTGGGCTGAATATAGGGTTTCCCTGATGGGGAGATGAAGGAGGGTTCAGGTAGAGGCTATTTCTCCCAAGATTATGGTTTCCAGCTTCCTTTCCTTCTCCAGGAGGTGGAATGCTGGGTCCCTAGGGGACACTGGAAAGTCCGAGTCCTCTACAAGCTCAAGAATCACAACCCCTAGGTCTCTTGATCTCTTATAAGAGCTCAAGAGTGCAAGCCTGACATGCAGGCATCAAGGCACCTGAGTCCCTGGGCAGCTTGGAGCTGGAAGGTGAGAGGGAAGATGGAAGGGGGATGTGAGAGACAGCCATTTGGGTTCCAGGAGGCATGGATATCAGGGTCCTCATACCCTTCTTCTCGCCTGTGAAGGGCACCAAGTCATCACGCTCTTTGACCTCTAGTGCCTGCTGTTCCAGGTATTGCAAAAGGGCCTCTCGGTCCAGTGGCCCCGTCGGGCTCTTCTTTGTCTGGTCACGTTGTCTTAGTCCAGCTGGCAGGAGCATATTCTTAGGGATGAGTTTTGGGGAGCAAGTCAGATCTCTACTCTGACCTGGGCACCTTCTAGGGTTCCCTAAATTATCTCCAGATATCTTTTCCCTGACCCTCTTAGGATTCCAGACCCTGCAGACAGCCCTAGTCTCAGCCACCCAGGGCCTAGCACCCTTCCCAAATGCCTGGGGACTGCCCTTGGTTCCCTGTGGATCGTCTGGATTCTCCACTGAGTTTCTTACCTCAGGGTCCATTTCCTGTAGCTCGCAGTCCAGCTGCTCTAGCTCCTCGGGGCTCAAGGTCTTTAGGATCTCATCTTCATCTATGTCTCTGTATTTCTCCAGCTCCTTTTGGTATGATGACATGGTGGCACCCACCCCCTCCCTGCTGTGTGGTACTCACACAGTATCGGGAGCCTAGGGAACACGAGGAAAGTGGTTGAACAATGGAAGAAGTACATGGATACAGTAGGGACACAAAGAGATCAGTCAGCCTGCAGCAGAGCAAGGAATGAGACCTTGGAGATTGGAAATCTAGTTGTGGATAGGAAGTTGGGGGAAGGTTAGCCTGTTTGTAGTTAAAATCAGAACCTCCTTCCTGCTTTCCCAGCTTCCATCCACTCTGGATGGGGATCCCAGGCAATCAAGCTGGGTTTGCCTTGCCACAGTATGATGGAAAAATCTTGGCAGTACTTCTCCCCTATAACCTCACCCGTCAGTTCCTCTCACCCTAGCACAGCTGCTGGAGGACCTGCCAACACAGCTGGCCCCATGCCTAGTTCCTTTTGAAAGGAAAGAGGTGGGTAGACAGCTTCAGGGAAATTCCTCCTCTCTTCCCCATAACCTAGGCTTTTTCCTAAACCAGTTATGGAAAGCAAGGAGGATTGTGGGAAAAAAAAAGAGGACAGTCCTCTTGTCCTAACCCTATTTCTTTTATAGGGCAGATCAAGGGTTAACTGTTTGCTAAAATTCTAGATCCTAAGGAAAGCAAGGGCTGAGAAAGTTTAGGGGACTTCCAGGTTGAGGGAAGGATGGCAAGACCTCAGAAGAGGCTGAGTCCCCACAATTTGTCCCTAGCTGTAGATGGGAAGGTGACACCAACCAGCCCAATGAGTGGGAAATGCCTCCATAGTTTATCTGAAATCAGTGGGAGGACTGAACTTGCACAATCCTTACAATATGAAAAATACACACAAGCTGCACAAACATACCATGTTAAATAAACGTGCCACAAAACGTGAGCCACTTACGTGAGCCACTTACACTAATGCAAACTATACAGATGGGATAGGACGGACTGAGTAAGAGACGAAGGCACACAGTATCATTCCCAATTGGAGCCACTTTTCTCCTCCCATCTCC